TGTAAAAATCGACGCGTTTCAGAAAGGCGGGGCATAGAGGAGAAACAATAATGTACAGTATGTGGAAAATAATGTGTTTTTGAACCTTAAACCGCATAAACACATTTCATTACACCAAATATACAAAATAGTGTTCTTTTTAGCAGCATCATATGACCCCTTTAAAGAATCCGCTATGAAGGACTTTCACATCCCGTGTTGCCGCCTCAAATATTTTCCCTTCATCAGATTCAGGTTCGATGAAAACGGAGTGGTGAGAGATAGACTTACATTCTTACACTGACACGCACTGTGTAGAAGTCTTGTGTAGTTATCAATTTAAAACCGTTTCGACAGCTAAACAAGTATGGTGTGAAACAACATTGCAATCCATGAACGCGCTGTCGCTGAATCCCTCGCAGCCTCGTTCTCATTCCTGGCTGGCGCTATGAACATGAGGAATTTGTTATTTTCAATGGTAGTAACAAACTGCCTGTAGCTACTACTACTGACTAAACAAGGTTTTAGGTCGTGAATGATAAATCGGCACACGAAATCATCTTCCATTACAATTCAAATCAGGTGTGCTGGTCTCATCTGGTCTGGTTAGTTATGCTGTGAATTTGTCATTAGTTTTTCAGTTTTGCTCTCGGTCTCATCAGCTCATCATTACTTGAGGCACCATGAGCCAATGGAGCGAGTCGAGCCGTAGCCAGCTGTGAGGACACCTCGGTCCGGACCTCGGTCAATTTTTAATGTTCAAAAATACAATTTGTTCTCTAAATGACTAATCTGCAGTTTAAAGCTCCTCATATGAGTGTCTGCGTGTATAATTAAGTTTAGACAGTTTGCGAGAATATTTAACGCCCGTGATACTATAAACAGGATATAACATTCGGTAAGGCAAAAACATCATGATATTATCTGTGAGAAACTTTATCAACGTGATCAAAACAATAGCATATGACACTAGTACAGAGATCTGTATAACAAGTAGTTACAGAATGAAAAATAATGCAATAATAATGCAAACGGGCATGAAGAAGTCTATGCTATTTCGTTGAGTAGGCCTACTGTTGTTAAATTTTCACAAAATCATGCTAACAACATCCATAAGAGCACTAGACAAAATTATCATCTAGGCTATATAGCAATGGTTATTAATGAAAACAGTAATACTATTATTAACAGTATAGTTTTATTACTGTAATAGGGCTATGTATTGTTGAATGAATAATAAACAACTGATAAAATCATACACCCCTAACCTACAGTATAGTAATGGTGCAATATAATAGAATTTAACAATGCTCATTCCTCCAAAACAGAGAAAACATCTTTCACAAACATCTTCATGTCTGTCTCTTTTAACCCTTTAACTGTCACTCACATTTTTGAACATAGACGTGCACGATCCAAACTTATTTTTTTATAATTCATGAACGAAAACATTTTGTAACATGATATTGATGTACCATTTTCATGGTAATGCAATGTTTGATTTTAAAATGGGTTTCAAAGGATGAATTTTGAGATTTAAAGCTTTCAATTGATATATAATTTCTGATTATTTCTAAAGTGTGATAGAGAAAAAGGCAACAAAGAAGACTTTTTTTGACAAAGGTCAGAACTCCTGTTACGATGTAGATTTTTGAGGTGCACTCTTGTCAAAAATGTATCTATTACTTTTCCTACATAATTTTTAACAAAAACATTGGTAAAATATCTATTTAGGAGTCTTAGACCTTTCCAACAATATATAGTTTGTCAAGATTAGATTAGGATTTAATTGTAATATAGTGAAGTAAACTTAGGCGTCCCACAAAGGGAGATGGGTGACAGTTAAAGGGTTAAAGTGTTAGTGTATATAATGAGTGGTATGTGGGGTTATTATAGCACAATTCTTAACCCCACCCCAGACCTCACTAATTTTCAAACCCTGGCTACGGCCATGAGAGCAACACCTAAAGTGTGCAGATCTGATGAGCCGAGCAGCAAGACTGAGATTAATCAAGAAACAAAAATGATAGAAATACATGAAAAACATCAATAGGAAAAGGGACCAGGTTGCTATAATGTTGGATTCGAAAAGGATGATAAGGACTCAAAAATTGTCATGGTTTTGGCACTAGACAGACCGATAGTTTGAGATAAGCTGGGCAAAAATGGTTGGTATCTTTAAAAAAATAAGAGACGTCTTCCAAACTCACAAACTACTCATCTGACTGTCTTTAAACGGGTCATGACCTGCTTTTTTATTGTAATGTCTGCATTGCAAGCATTATGAAAACACTGCTAAAAAAATAAGATGATCACATGCAGGATTCACTTTTACAAGGTTTGTTGAATCATAATGTTCAATGAGCCTGGCAAAATGTTGACATTTATGCTTTAAGGCAGATACTTTCTCATCAAAGACACTTATTATACAGAAATATGTCTGACTTTTTGCTGTCAGATCATTGAAACGCAACTGAATTGTTATGCATCATGCATCAAACGCCATTAGAAAGAATGTTTTTTTTTTTTTTTTTGGGAGATGTGTGTGTGTGTGTGAGTGTGAGAGATAAGTCACACTTTCACATTCTTGCATGACCACTTACTGTCTGTGAAAGGAAAAATCATGATTTTATCAGTGAGTGACATTAAAAAAACAAAGCTATAAAATAAATGGGACATCTTGAAAGCATCATACAATAGTATAGTGGACATAAATGACCATGACATTGCTGCCGCACAGAAGTTTATGAGGCTTGCAGCATTGTCCCAGCGTATGTTGAACTAGCACATCACAGGCTAAGATAAACGTGTTAGAGAGAGCCTCAGCTATTATGCCCTATCTTTCCAAATAACCCATAATTGCAGTGTGACACTATAATGTTTTGAAATTGCTAATGTTATGTTCTTTTATTACTAAGGTAGTAAATAACTGATGAATCAAGTGTAATTTGCACATGTCAATGGTTTTTGCTAATATACTTCATGTCTTCTATCAGGGTTCAGTGTGTGGAGTGCAGATAATTACCTTTGAGACCACATTTACACTCAATTCTTTGGCCAGAATTAGACACACTCATTATTTTGTAAGAAAAAGGAGTGAGTACAGTAGATGGCTTGAGGTAGTTTCATAAAATATATGTAAAATATAATATAATATAATATTAAAATTATATATTATATTATTTTTATTATATATAATTTTGTATATATATATTTTTATTAATATACATAATTTAATTTGTTTATTTTAAACACTGTGTCTCACTTGAGCTCGTTTTTGTCCATTAGAAATGAAACTTTGACCCTTACCCTTTGAAACTTAATTTAAAACAGCCCAGAAGTTTCAACTATATTGGTAAGGACTGTTATGTCGATGCTGACAGGAGGCAGACACACTTTGGGTATTCGCTCAGAATTACTGTCTTGACAAAACACAATAAAGCTTTCATTAAAGTCCAGAACAAGTCTGTTTGTCATGCAAGTACATTGTCCTGATTCAATGACAACGTTTGAAAGTTCATATACGCTACTTCACTCTGCCATATATGGTTTATTTCTGACTAATAAGACCAAATTACACTCACAATCTTCTAGCTGATCCTAAGCATTTGATTTTTTTTTCTACTTACTTTCATTGTTTTAAGTGTGTTTATTTAGTATGTTATTCTACATTTTGCATGTTTCTGAATTTTGTATTTGTATAGAAAACATTACAGTTCATCATGTACAAAATAAACTCATCATGATTTAACTATCTGACTATTGTAGTATTGTAAACTGTTAAATTGCATGATAAGCATCAACCCTGATTTCATGCGTCCTTGCATTCTGAAATGTGTCAGTGCAGTTCATTACCCAACGCAAGTGGTGCACGTCACGGAAAACCCACGTTTAGTATTTCTAAGAAATTAATACTTGTATTTAGCAAGGACGCAATAAATGCAAAAGACTTCTTTTAAAAACATTTTTAAAATCTTAATTATTCCAAACTTTTGAGTGGCCTATCACTCATAAAATATATTTATATAGTGTATATTTAAAATATCATATATTATATATATATTATTAATTTCTGTAAAATTATATTTATAATTTTTCAGAAATTATATATAAAAAAAAAAGTTGTTTCTGTGATCCACTGACCTGTGTGGCTCCGTTTTGTCCATCAGAAATGAAACTTTAATAAATTATGCTGATAATATGCCTGGAAACTGTAATTGCAAATGATCTGAATGGAGAGAAATCGACACCCTGATCTTTCCATGTGTGTTTTTTTTTATCAATTTAATCATGAATATTGGACGGGTAAAGAGTGTAAAAGATACATTTTCAGCTTGTCATGCACTGTAAAAAAAAATCTGTAGTTTTTGAAAAATAATTTTGGCAGCTGTGGCTGCCAGAATAATTGTGTAAAAAATACAGAAAAACTGTAAACACATTTACAGAACAAACTGTAAATGTTACAGTATAAAACTGTAATTTACAAACAAGAAAATGTGAATGTAAACCAATAAATTCAACAATGCAGACTGCTTCTAAAATCTGTTTTATACCTTTAATATATACTGACAACCACCATAATAATGCAGGTGGTAAAAGAGAAGGCCGCATGAAGAATCAAAGTTCATCACATGTAGCTTTTCCTCAAGCTGAAGTATGTACTAAAATACAGAAGATGCACAGAGTCATTCACTCAAACACTAAACACCATAATGGTAACATACAACACTTAAATAATGCAAAAAACATTCATTAACATAAAACCCTAGTGAACATAACAAAAACTATTAAGAAGCATAATTATTCAAACAAAATACTTTCAAATGTGGAGTGTCACGCAGGGAATTCTGGGAATATCTGTTTACAGTTTTTAATTGTATGTTGATTTGTTATTTTTTACTGTACAATTAACAGCATTTTACTGTAAAATTACATAAAATTTCTGGTTAGATCTTTTACAGTTTTCCCTGTATATAGTACAGGAACTTACTGTTAACTGTTACAGTTTTTTTCGGTAGCGTTTTTATAATATTTTACAGTGAAAAATGTGTGTGAAGCTTCAACACTCTGACTCTGTTTTAGTCATTTTATACCATAACTTTGTGCTAAATCTGAGGCGAAATCCAGTTTTTCAATACATATTTCAAATCCCTAATCCCACTCCATTATTCAAATAGCTTCCACACAAGGATTGTCACCAATCTACCATTGAAATGCTAATACGGTGTTATGTAGCTTCCGCAAAGATGCACACTTCTGGGAAGCAGAGTGAAATGGAGCTTTGAGGCAGTGTCTCCCACCGTGTTCTTAGAGACGTCACCTGTGTTCCTGTGCTGTTTTTCTCCTCTGACAATGGGATGATACATTCACCCAGCCCTCCTGATCTAAAGCCTCATCCTGCCTTATAACAGACCTAATCATTTATATTTTGTGATGTGTCCTATTTCCTTTGATGGCAGCGTCGGTGGAGATTGCTCTAAAAGCACTAAAAGTCAGCAGGCTTTAGCTTGTTATTGCAGGAGTGTGTGAGAAGAGCTCTGACTCTGTGTGCTAGTGTGACCTGACATGCAGGAGATTTTCTGCTCGTCATGAAGTCTCCTAAAAGAAGAAAGTGTGTGGCTATTTATGTCCAAAAAATGTCCCTTATTATCGGCATCAAAGTATCTTCAAAATTTGATGCCTGAACTGTCAATAGAAGACATTTTTAATACACTTGCATTCAACTTTTAAAGGGTTAGTTCACTCAAAAATGAAAATTAGGCTGTGTTTTACTCACCCCAGAGGCATCCTAGGTGTATATGACTTTCTTCTTTCAGACGAATCCAGTCGGAGTTATATAAAAAATTGTCCTGGCTATTCCAAGCTCTATCATTGCAGTCAGCGGGTGTTGCAGTGCTTCAGTCCAAAAGAAGTGAAATAAAAAAGCGCCCATCCATAAAAAAAGTGTCTCACATGGATCCGGGGGGTGAACAAAGGCCTCCTGTAGCGAATCGATGCGTTTTTGTAAGAAAAA